AAAACCGCCCGCCCGCCCGCTCCCGCGGCACCAGCGTGTGTCGCAGAAACGCAGTGCAACGTTAGATTGGTTCCCTTCCCGCTCGCCGCTTACCGCAGCGTGGGTTTGCGTGTGGGTTTGCCGGTAGTTGCGTGGGAAAGAATTTCGAGGTGTGTGTCTGTCGTTGAACTCAACGTTGTGCAATTTTCTCTTTAGCAAAACTAATACGATATGCAAGAAATGTGCCCAAAACGTGAAGCAGTTTGGAACGGTGAGTAGGCTCTTAGTTCTAAATATCAAAGTTAAAGTTCATTCACATTTTAAATTAAAAAAAAAAAAAAAAGTTCTCTTGCAACTACTTATTTTCTTTTGGGGAAAAAAAAAACCCAAAAGGTGATGAACATTACTGGCAGCTCTTTGGTTCCATCCTGGCTTACAGTTTCTTTTTTAAAATTGAAATCCATTGTGGTTGTGTGTAGTTTAACAGCTATGAATAACTGCAGAGTAGCTATTCATAGCCAAAACAGCATCATTTCACTTTATGCATGTAAATTATTCTTTGCATGTTCTCATAAACGCACACTGCATGGCAGGAAGACCGTTAGCTGTCTGTGTTTTTAATGAGTGGTAAATGTGAAAATCTGATAATACTACTTACTTTGTATTATGAAGTCTTAAAAATTTTAAATGCATGTTAATCGTGTTGAGCTAGTAAGCAGAATAGATTTTATGAGTATTAGCTCTATCCATGTTACTTTGCATTTTCTCATCTTGATATTTAGTTTCAGTTCTGTTAGAAAAATTAATTTTTTAATATATGAATGCACACATTGTATCTGAGCGTCCTGCAGATATTAGTTTGTAGAGGGTATTGAGATAATCTCGTGAAACAAAAGTGTGTAACTTCTGTACATTTGACATGAACCATATTAGATGAGATTCAGCTTATTCGAGAAACATAACAGCTGTCGGTATGTAGTCAGGCATTTCGTGAATGTAAGTGTAAACTGAGTAAAGAACATTTTTTTCAAAAGCTTAAAATGTAGCAAAATTAAGTGCAGGACAGATCCCACAGTCGTTTTTACCGGTAGTTCATCAAAACGTGGAACTGCACTGAAGATAATCAGCCATTTCGAACCTATGAAAACTGACAGCAATTCTGTTTTCCAGCAGCATGTTATTCTAGTTGACTGTATGATAAAAAAGTTGATAACCTGACCTGAGAGTATCTGAAATTGTTGGGATTTTTCTGTTGGGTTTTTGTTTGGTGGTTTGGGTTTTTTGTTTTGTTTTGTTTTGGGAGGGAGGTGGTGTTTGTTTGGATTTTGTTGGGTTTTTTTTTTTTAGTTTCCTGCAGAATTGCGGAGATCAGGATACTAATCTTGGAGCTGCAGGTTTATCGAATCCCTGAGTAGTGCAAGGGAGAGGGATGTTTTCAGAAACTTACAGTCTAGAAGAGTGACTTGATTACTCTTCTTTTAAAGTTTTTTAAGTAATTTCTTTAGTATTGTAATGAAACGGGGAGAAAATGTCATCATATTTTAAAAGAACAGAGAGGCAGGTGTAGAGGTGAGCAGTCACATTGTATGTGTTTCTTTCATTTAATACATACCTCGGTTTTCATGGAAAGTCCAGACTGTTTTTGACTTCTGAAGGAGCATCTTTTCAGGGGAAAAGTTTAGTACTGAAGACAGAGATGGTAGGAAAAAGGTTCTTTAAGATGGGCAATGTGAGGCCCTAGTAGTTTAGAAGCAGCATGGTGTGATTTGAAATACCTGTGTTCATTACAGAAAACTGTAAATGTATTAACTTCAGTTCAACTTACCTGTTTTTCAGCCCAAGCCTTGTCAGTATTGTAACATTATTGCAGCATTTATTGGCACAAAATGTCAGCGTTGCACCAACTCGGAGAAGAAGTATGGCCCCCCTCAGACGTGTGAACAGTGCAAACAGCAGTGTGCTTTTGATCGGAAAGAGGAGGGAAGAAGGAAGGTAGGCTTTGTTCCACAGCTGTAGTGGCTTGGGCTGACAACAGACAAGGTTCCTCCTTTGTAAGAGAAAGATTAACAGGAATGTATCTTATGTTCACTAGCATTAAAGTTGCTGTGCTTTACAGTATTTGAATTAAACTCCACAATTTGCAATTGTTATGTTAGCTACTGAGCTAACTTACTTTAAATTTAATCACTCTTTTTAAATATAAGCTTAAGCTGACAGTTGTAGCTGGGAACAGAGGTTAAGCAGCTGAACAGTTCCTGGTGCTTTGATTTTTTTTTTTTTTTTTTTTTTTTTTACAATTTTCCCATCTGTTGGATCTTATTTATGTCCGTAACTTGCATCTGTGACTTTACCTCTTCTGATTTGCCTGCCCTGCCTTAAAGTACAGCACCAGAGAGGTAGACGGCTCTGAGCAGCCTATTGTGTTGTTTTCTTAAATAGCTTTGGTGAGTGCCACCTTCTCATTCCAGAAGGTGCTGAGGAAATGACCTCAAAGGCCTCTTGCCTGAAGCCAAGAGTAATGCTGGTTTTACAGAAGAATTTACTTGGTACAAGTAACATGTTATCTGGACATCTTGATTCTGACTGGAATACGATGGGATGGGAAGAGGGTACATGGTGTCTAAACTAAGAATTATTTGTCCCTTTAAAAAGTCCTTGTCACTTGTGTGGTAAAGAGCAAGTCCAACATTTGCTAAGACTCCTTTCTAGCATAACCTTAAATGAAAAAAATAAATGGAATAAGTTTTACTTTACAAAAAGATAACTTGCATACGTTGGAGATACGGTAGTGCTGTTTCATACCAAAGAGATGTCTGAATTTTTCCCAAAGGTAACAGTTGAAGCAAACCAAATTTTTCTTGCAAATACTGAAGTACATCTTTCTAGTGCAAGTATACTTGGAAAAAAAAAACCTGGTATGAATTATTTCCCAAAAGGTTGATGGAAAGTTGTTGTGTTGGCTCTGCACGCTGTCCTACAAGAGAGTGCTACAGAAGACAAAAGAACAGAGGAAGAGCTTAGGATCTTCACATTCTAACTCCTCATCCTCATCTCTTGCTGAGAAAGACCAGCATCATTCAAAACACCACCACCATCACCACCATCACCATCGTCACAGCAGCAGTCATCATAAGTAAGTATTAAAAAAAAAATCAAGTAGCTGTTGGTAGCCCTTGCTCTTTTGTGCTCTGTTAGTACAGAGATCAAATCGAAGGAAATAAGAAATGTTGTTTAAAACGTGGCATCAAAAGCAGTAGCAGAATTTAGTTCTTCCATGGTCTGTCTGAATCCTCGTATTCTTACAGTTTGGATGAAGGGAGGTCAGGAAAAAGCAGAAATTCTTGGTGATCATCAAACTAGTCGATGTTAAAATTGGTGGCAAGTCTAGAAAAGAAACCCACAGAATGGCTACAGAAACAAGTTGCTTAGGGATAAACTGGAATTTGGCTTTCTAAGCAGTAACTGCTGTGTGGTAACTGCTATTTTACGTGCATTTACCACAGGGTAAAAGGTGTGTGTTAGCCGTGAGCACAGAACAGCTACTTCGCTCAGAATCCCCACCCTAACTTCCTTCATCCTGACTTGTTTGCGCACACGTGCTTGCAGTTAAACGGGGAAGCAGAAGCAACTGGGTGGGATCACCCTCAGTCTAGGACCAGTTTGTATCTCTTTGCTAGGTTTTGTAATCAGATCTTGCTGGAACAGGCAGTTTCAGAGTGGCTGCCATACAGATGTAGGAAAACAACACTGTCAGTTCCGTTGCTGGCGCTCCGGTAACGTTTCACGTAGTTTTGTCCCCTCTTCTGCAGCCTTTCTCAGTGTGCCATCTCTGGCCGTGGCGCACACAGCCTACCAAACTTAACATATGTGCCCAGTTTGTTTAGTTGTAGATGCTGGAACTGATTTGGTTTACATCAGTGTAGTAGCCGTGGTTCTTGTTTTCACTGGTAGGGTTATGGCAGTGTATCTTTAGAGCTATTTGTTTTGGTTTTGTGTGGGGTAGTAAATACTATGGCTGCGATGGAAATGCCCCTGACCCCAGACACACAAACACTTTCATTCTGAGCTTCATTTTTCTAATGCTTATAATTGTCCTTTTTGACTGGGACTTGCCTGGCTAAGCGTGACTTAAATACAGAAGCAAAATAAGCTGGAATGATATTGGGAATGAGGAGAAAAGAAATGCATGTGTGTTCACTTAAGAAAAGAGAAAAATAAGGTTTTTTTTTGTTTAGGAATTTGAAGATGACTGTTCTGGTCATGCAGAGGGTTATTGTGCTACTCCTGTTCTTTCAAATCTCTGCTGAAAATTGAGTTACAACAAGCAAGATCTAATTTAATGCATGTGGCAAAGATCTAGTAAGGATTAAATAAAAAAGAAGTTAGTTCTTTACTATAGAGTAGAGCTTCAAATATACTCAAGAGTTACAAAAGTAAGCATATCGCTATACAGATCAGGATGTTCCTGGTTTGGCACCTTTTTTCTATAGGCTACCCCAGGTCCATGGCTTCTGGTCCAATAAGTACAACCCTTTTCCCCTGACCATGTCAGTTATTGTTAAGGTGAGACAATGAGGTAGAAATAGAGGTTCATTGAACTATTTCATTCAGTGCAATCTTCTACATTCTTCTGTTCCTATGTCAGTGGTGATTATTAGTTGCTTTTGAAATTATTGAAAGCGAGTGTTTAGACCTGAGAAGCAGTTATTTTCAGGGATCCAAAACGTAACTTTGCTCTTATGCCACCACACAAGCTCAGCTTCAGGCAACGTTCATGTGGCAGTATGTGAATCCCAGGAATGCTGCTGTAGAGCAGCTTGCTGGGCCCAAGATTAGCAATGTAAAGTTCACAAAAATTGGGAGGTACCAGCAAAAACATTTGGCCATCAGTCTCAAAGTCTACCCATTGTGCCTTAGAACAGTGTAAACATGTAGCCAAGAAATGCTTCTGTAGCATCCTGGCATAGAAAAAAGTGGTCATGAATATGACAGATAATACAACTGTCCAGCTGAAAATTCATATTGTTAACTTTTTATTAAAACAAGGAAGGAGGGTGTGGATTTTTCTCGAGTAGGGATGCTGTTCACAGAAACTTGGAAATAATGGTGTGTTTGGTCAGTTACCAAGTACATTTCACATGTTTCAGAATCAGCAGTCTGAGTCCAGAACAAGATCAGGGACTATGGAAACAGAGGTAAATATGATATTATTTATTAATTTTCTTTTAATTTATCTTGCCGTTTTCATTTAAAGGACTTTTTTTCTTGCATTTCCGGCTAGTCACTAGCATTCCAGCTAGGAGCATGAGTTAGTTATTTTACATGTACCAAATGGTGATATTAGAGAGTTATGTAGTATGAGGCTTTAGGTTTACATTTTGTTTGATTTCAGCCATAAATCCTCTGCAGCTATTCAGAATGAAACTCCAAAGAAAAAACCCAAACTGGAATCCAAGCCATCAAATGGAGATAGGTAAAGTTATATCTTTGTAAAGCTGAGCCATTTCAACCAAATAGAGTACTGATGAGTGGCCAGTTGCTTCTTTTCTTTTTTTTTTTTTTGTTTTTGCTCTGAAGAATGAGGGAGGTGAAACTATTGTCCAGCCAGCCAGATTATTGGGTGACATCTGAGTGCTGTCAGTCAACTAAATGACTCTGTTAGCAGAAAACTGGCACTGTTTTTCTGCTTTTAAGCTGTTTCGGGCAAAACTAAATAAAGCTCGTGTACGAAGCAACAGTTGTCAACAAAACAGTATTCCCTGCCATGGGTGTTTTGTCGATTCCATGTAGGGTTGAATGGGCTGCTTTAAGCTGACCAGTTATCTAGAGAAATCTTTTGGACCTTAATGTGTGTGGTTCGATCTTTATTCTGTCTCTGACCAAACAGTTGGAATAAAAGTAAAAGCAGCTGCTTCAGTCAAAAGGTATTTGTCCCCCGTCAAAGCTAATACTTGATTATATTTATGCAGGTGTGTGTAACGTGTGCCATTAGTAAGGTAATTTGCCAGTTGCATCCATTTCTGTCAGGTACATGCTTCTTTTGCATTAGTCCTTAAGGATGTTTGTGGAATTATTAATTATGCAATTTGAAATTTTTTTAAGTACTGTTTTTTTCTATTAGTGTTGTAAGTAACTATTGTTTTTTGGTTTTAGTAGCTCTATAAATCAGTCAGCAGACAGTGGAGGAACTGACAACTTTGTCCTCATAAGTCAGCTGAAAGAAGAAGTAATGTCACTTAAACGTCTTCTGCAGCAAAGAGATCAGACCATTTTAGAAAAAGATAAAAAGGTAAAAATTGCACCTGCTTAATAAGAACTTTATAATTTTGTTTTATGTTTTGTAGACTCCTAACAGTGTCAAAATGATGAGATAAAATGAAAATCAGACACAATTTTTTTTATATAGCAATGATCCAGATCTTACCATTTAAAGGACAACTTTGGGACTTTTGTATTGTGAATCTATTTTGACTCTTAAGTCAAAAAGGAGTTCATCTTGCCTCACTTCAGCCATCTAGAAGCTAGCCATCTGGCTCACTGTTACTCAGGCTGTGTGCCATAGGTGACGGATAAAATGCCAGACAGGGGTTTCCGTGTTTTCTGTATTCTAAACTGAGTCACAGCAAAGATCCCAGATCCCTACATAGGCTGATGGGCACACAAGGTAAGAGGAGATTAAGAGTAGTAACCATTCTGAGTTTAGCATAGTTTTTGTTTAGTTTTAAACTAAAGCAACTGTAGCTATAATTAATGAGTTGGTATCCAAATTTACACGTACAGCGTATGAGAATGAAGTAGTTTGATTTTAAAAGATTGGTAGCATATGTGTAGTGTAGGTAACCAGGTCTTTGTGGATGGTCAGAGACTAGAAGAAAAGCTTGGACTGGATGCCTGGCAGTCAGCAAAAGTTAAGTGAAATAGCCCCAGATGGCTGCAGTGAAACTTGTGCAAGAGAGTCACCCATCAAATGACCTAATGATTAACAAGAAGAGAGAAATAACTACGAATACGTACTTTACCTTTATTAGAGCTTATTTCTCTGCCACACACCATATGCTTTTAAGACACAGTCTGTAACAGTGGCTCTAGAATGTCTGTTCAGGATTGAGTAGATTATGGAATTGTATTAAAAATAAATTTACTGTATTTTCAAGTAAAATTATGATTATAGTTGCATGATGGCCTATCATCATTTCCATTGATGGTTAAGAAAGGCTCATTGATCCTGGAACGGTCAATAGTTCGGTATCTTTATTTCTACACTTAAATATTCTGTGTAAAGGATCACAGAATGGTAGGGGTTGGAAGGGACCTCGAAAGATCATCTAGTCCAACCCCCCTGCCAGAGCAGGACCACCTAGAGTAGATCACACAGGAACGCGTCCAGGTGGGTTTTGAATGTCTCCAGAGAAGGAGACTCCACAACCTCTCCGGGCAGCCTGTTCCAGGGCTCTGTCACCCTCACAGGGAAAAAGTTTTTCCTTATGTTAATGTGGAACCTCCTGTGCTCCAGCTTGCACTCGTTGCCCCTTGTCCTGTCATTGGACATCACTGAGATGAGCCTGGCTCTGAACCTTTTTTTGTTTATGTCACATTTATACCTAGTGTTGGAAGTACTTGTTGTTTTAAGCCTTTAAGTGGTTAATGTGAAAGAGCTGAACAGTCTGTCATGGATTCTCTTTAGGTATTTTCTTCAAAGGACAGCCATTAAGGCCCTGATCTCTTTCTTACAAAGCCAGTAGAAGATCATGAGTCAGTAGGAAATTCACTTTTCTCTTTATATTTCATCTACTGGGCGAAACTAACGAAAGGGTTAGGTAAGGAAATGTCACCTACTTCTGCATAACCACTGCAGTAACCTGTTCTGTGCTGTTTCCATGGGGAGAGCATCTAGTAATTGCAATATCCCCACTACTAAAACTATTTGACCTCAGAGTTCTTTGAAGTTAAAAGACTCACTCCTTCAGTCAGGAATTGCACACTTTCAGAATGTCACTTGCTTTCTTCAGCTGCTGCAGGAGGGAGAAAAGCTGAACACGTTATATAGTGTTTGCATAGCTGGAAAAATTACAAAAAATGAATGCACTGCAGAGTTTTTTTGACTGTGAGATGGTAAATGCAAGACATGTGCTGGGATAAAAGCCTGAGCCAGACCTGTGGGAGATTCCCATTAAGATCACGTCCCAAGCTTTGTGTAGGGACAGCGTTTTAACAGTTTGGAGCACTCCGAGAGAAACCTCTGAAATGTATAACATATGGCAACAAAACCAACTCGGTACACCAGCTTTACAGACAGTCCTTACCCTTCGTTTTTTGATAGGAATCAAGATCTCAGCCACGTCATTACCAGTGCTTATTGTTTGCGGTACCGGCCTTGTTTTGCTTTCTGGACAAAGTGTTAGTGAGACACCAAGATGTTACTGTGGGGCCTGAAGACTTGATCATTAGGAAGGGACTGTCGTTTGCTGAATGTTCACAGGCGGTGTTTTTGCTTGCCTAGTTGCCTACTTTACTATGGTGCAATATTACCATGAGGGTTTTTTGATATTTAGTTTGTGGTATGTGGTTTTGTACTGGATCCCCTGGAATTTACAACAGCTATAAGTACATACCTTGAGCAGCAGTCTGTGTACCCTAGAGGTGTGTATCCTTGTGTCAAGATACCTGCACTTTATTTAGGACCATTTTATTGACAGTTCTTTTGAGTTCCTTGTTTCACTACATGGGATTTGACACATGCTAAGGTTGGTTAACAGCAGTCTTGGTAGTCATTTTAGGGTTGTATGCTCTGGTTTGTTATAGCAGGCTTCTTTCATTGCAAAATCCATTTATCCATGATAAATCCAAATTGACCAGAGAGGTTCAAGACAGCCAGGTGAGTCTGGGATGCTTTGAGGAGCTAAATTTTTTAAAGAAGTAGTTCCTAAAACTTTTGGGTCCATGTACAACAAACTGTTAGTAGTTCACCCAGCTGCACATGCTTCCAGCAGAAGTGTTCAGCTGCTTAGATGGAAGCATATACCACAATTTAGAAATGCCTGCCTTATGTATGTCATCTGGATCTCTGCCTGTTCGGGAGAGACCCAGTGGCAGCAATACTACACCATACACTCAGAATTAAATCCTAAGTTAAATCATTTTAATTACGCATTTCTAATAACACAGTTTAATTCACTATTGTTGTGGATCAAGAAGCAGTGAAACTCTGGAATGTATACTTCAGTTTAGGACAAATGGTAGCATAAAAGGACACAAAGGAATCCTTTCTGTTGTCTTTGTATGGGAGATTTCTCATATGTTGCTGTACCATATAACTGAAGATTGTGATAAGTATCTCTTAGCTGAAAGAGCAGCTAAGACTATAAATCGTTAGTCTTGTATTTGATTTTTTTTTTAATTGAGAATTAACTTAATTTATACCAAATCCTGAGCAAACAATATGATTATATAAGTACAATTTTATCCTTCATACAAGATAGACATACTTACTTTTCAAGCTACTGCTCAAGCACTGAGCTGTCAATACTACAATAATAAATAAATACAGCGTTTCCAGCGATTCCTGAGGCTTCCGAAAAGGTTTCACAGATTGAGTGGAAGATGTGTACTGTAGCACTCCAAGGAATCTTCATAGAATTTGTGTTTTCAGTTGACAGAATTGAAAGCAGACTTCCAGTACCAGGAGTCTAACTTGAGGACAAAGATGAACAGTATGGAGAAAGCTCACAAGGAAACTGTGGAACAGTTGCAGGTGAGTAATTGCTTATCAGTACTTGAGAAATACTTCAGATGGCGTTATGCGTTCAGGCTGTTCACTCACAGCAATGAAATAGTACCAAGTTCTTGAGTGGTCATTGCCACGTTTAACTTTGAACGCGTCGTACAGCAATTCTGCAGTGAACAGACAATCTCCATACGAAATAAACTCACTGTAAGAATTGCCTCTGACTTGAAGAGACAGGGGCTGACCTCACGTGCTTTCTCAAAGGTCATGTCATTTTTTCTGCCTGTTCTCTGATACTTAAGCAGTTGTCAGTGTGCTGTTGACCTGATTTAAGGGCTCAGCGTTAACACAATTGACAGTTGAATGTCTCTTGTTAAAGCAAATTTATCGGGAGAAAAAGCCTGAATGAGGTGCCTTATAAATCACAGAACAGATACTCAGTGCAATACCTCAGATACTAAGTTTTGCAGTACAGGAAATGTGGTTATCTTTTCTGTTAAAGATGGAATATGCTTTCAAAAAGCATATACAAATCTTTGAAGAGTGATCATTATCTACTTTGAATATTCTCAGTGTATACATTTTGAGAGTTTGTTTCATAAATGCAATGGGAAATTAGTGTGTGGCACTACTCTCTGGGTTGTTTCAGTTATTCATAAAACTTTTTTTGTCTGTATTGCAGGCCAAAAACAGAGAACTGCTCAAACAGGTTGCAGCATTGTCAAAGGGTAAAAAGTTTGATAAAAGTGGGAGTATACTGACATCTCCTTGAGGAACTGGTTATTCATGGGGTTTGCTACTCAATGTAAATTTGAGTAATTCTGTGAAGCCCTTAAAATCCTGTGTAGTGGAAAAAATATTTTTGCACACCAGATTAGTTGGCATGTTTCCTACACGTTTTTATAATTAATATGCAGCTTTTTTTAGTTACTGTTCAGATGAAATACTTCAACTGGCTTGAAGAATGTTTTTATTTTTTTGATATTGGAAACTTTTTGCCAGCAATAGTATTAAACAATTGCATAGAGAACATAGCAGTGCTCTCTCTAAAAGGACAACATGCAATAACAAACTAGGTGTACTTTTTACAAAGCAGCAACCGAGTCTTTTCGACTACACTGATGTCAGCCAAAAGTTTATGAATCTGCAGTGACACTGAACACTGGTTTCTGGCAACTGTTCTTTTACTTTGTATCAAAATACAAATTTAGAATGGTGCTCTCAAGTGAAACTGAAAAAAAAAGGCTTATATGTATGTGTAAATACAACTGTTAACGGTTATATTCTTAGTTATAACAAGTAATTAGTGTTTTACATTCTTGTGATAGGGATTTACTGAAAGATTATCTATTGTACAGTAACAGAGGCAGTGTGGTTTTTGTAAGATTTACTGTAGATTTTTCTTGCAAGTGCCTTTCTCCAACTGTTTATTTATAGGAATGTTGGTATTTTGTACATAAGGTTTTTATGTTTTAAAAACATGTTTAATAAATGTTTTATGTAAATATAAATGTGTGTACAGAGGAACCTGAAACAAAGATCAAAATGGCTAGTGCAGTGCTTGAAGCAGCATTAAGAGCTAGCTAACTGATGGACAGTGAGTATTGGCTTTAGATAACCTTTGTTATTGCTTGTGTCTGTGAGGTGTAGAATTTTGTTAGTGCTGCTCATGCCAAACACTTCCTGAACAAAAAAAAACCAAAATGTTTTTTGCCACACTGGAGTTCAGTGGTTTGTTTATATATTTTTCCCATTTGGCACAGCGCTAATTTTAATTCCATAGCAGACATTGTACTCCCAATGTTGCATCCTTAATTAGTGGTATACACTCAAAGTTTTTAAAAAAATTATTCCCCATTGTCTGCTTTTGCACTTAGTTGTAACTTATGGTGATTCTTCTTGATGAATTGCAAGATTCTCGTCCCCCAGTAAAGACACACAATGAGAAAAGAGTAGCCAAAAGTAATGGTCTTGAAATTAATTAAGGAAGTGGACATGGTGTCAGAGGGTGGGTTGTTTTAATGTTTTGGGTAGATTTTGATTCCAAATTACATCAGTTTAAGTTTAGCTCTGCTCCTAATGGACATTGGTCATATTCAGAAATTTCTGTTAAACATAGTTTAGTACACCCTGAGGTCTCTGTTCAGGAAGGTGAGTTAGGAATCGGCATAAGGTGAGGTAGACTTAGGTAAGGAAAGGTTTAGTTCTGCTCAGGTACTGGTTGGCAACAGAGTAACTGCTTATATTTCAGTAAGCTTAATTGTGTAGAATAAGCTACACACCCTTTAATTAAAGAGCTAAAATCTACAGTTCCTTGGCTGTCTGCCCACGTACTGAACTATGAACACCTTTTCAGTAGTTCAAACAAGTTCCAGCAGTGACAGACTCCTGAAGAATTTGAAAAAATCAAGCTATTATGTTTCGTATGTTATGTATTTTTATACCCTAAAATCAACTTTGTATGTTTGTAAATGCTCTTTAAACTTGCTAAACTAGGGTAGAGAATGCTGCTATCCTTTGGGGATGTTGTTATTTTTTTTAATATACAAATTTATGACTGCCATTAATTCAGAGTTAGTATTTTGATGATTTTTTTTTTTCCAGTTGAATGGCGACCCATGTTTGGTGAAATTGGTTTTAAAACACAGAAATGCATAGCAAATTGAAATAGTTGAATTCAGATCACTTAGTGATATCTGTTCAAGCTGCAGTAAGGACGTTTTAAACGAAGAAACTGAAGTTCTATATTAGAAGTAATTGACTTTATAAATCCCAGTCCAAAAAATTTTTAGGGGCTTCACAGTATTTAGTTCTAATTAAATATCTGTGGGTTTTCTTCCATAATCTCATTTTTAAAATTAATTTTTTAAAGCTGTAAACTAGCCAGCTGAATCCCAGTCCTGCAAATCATGTCCCGGAGCTGTAGATTATTGACATAATAAACTGATGTTCTTTAAATGTGGATCTGCGAGGAGATTGTTGTACTGTATTGTGCTTTTTAGCCTGTTTCCAGATGTTGATTAGCATTGACCAGTAATGGCCATTTTGGCTCAAGTTATTTATGTATTTTAAGCCTGTGAATATTGCGGCCCCTTTTTAGATAGTGTGTCTAAATACGTGTTCTGAAGTGAAGCTATTCAGCTGTCCACATGTATAGACTGTTGAAATACTGTACTGGCACACATCTGACCGTCGACATTTTGTACCTTTTCTAAATCCAATGTTTCACAATAAAATCTTGTCAAAACACTAATCTGTCCTTTTAAAATTATTCAGAAGTTCATATTTCATGTTAATCCTTCACGCTATGTCACTCCCTAAAAGTCTATGGTCAAAAAAAGGCAGAATTTAATATTTGCATTTAGTATTTAGATTTCTGGGAAGATTAGACACCTTGGGCTGCCTACAAATTCTAACAGCTTCAGATTAATTTTGCTCAAGAAACTATTTTGGTTATCGTCAACAGGATTATAATACATAGAAATACTTTCCTATGGAGCAGAAGAAGAAAACCTTAAGGTTTAACTGAAATCTAGTGGCATTTAATAAAGCCTTGAACAGGCTTTTTATATTGTGATTAACATTGGCACTTGTGTTTAAAAGTACCTGAATTTCAGTCTTAGTCTGTTAACCATAAGGTTGTTCTTCCTGTACATACGTTGTGGCCCAGTTAGGGGATTCTGAGATTCGAAGTGACATTGATGATTTCTATGTCCGTTCCCTTTCTTGTGTTGGGAGAAGTTCGGCACCCACAAAACGTGCTGCCGGTCACGGTGACTTCTAGTGTTTAAAGCACTTGTGCTGCAATTTGTAGGTCTCATTTTATATTTCGCTCAGCAGGCCGTCTTTGTCTTTCCACAATCCAGCAGAATACTTCTCATTTAAGAATTAAAAGTTCAGAGTAAAAAAATAGAGGGGGCGGGGTGGGGGTGGAGGGGTGCAAAAAAAAAAAGGTCAAGTGAGATTTTGTAGTTTTCTGGTCAAGGCAATTACCTAGAAGGGGGAGTCTTTGAGTTTCAGATCTCTGCTCTTAAAACCGTGCATATTTTATATTAGGTATAGTAATGAATAATGTGCTATTCTAATATTGAATTGTTCTTAGCCTCATTTTACTGCAAATTTGCAATGGCTTTGTTGAAGCCATTTATTTTTAAAGCCGAGAGCAAATCAAAACCATGTGTGGTACCTAGTTTAGATACGGCTTCCATGTGACACATGCAAAACTTGTATAACTGGCCATGTAACAGATTGACTCCCTAAAAGAGATTTGCATCACTTGAAGCAAATTTCCTTGAAGATATAAATGGATACAACCTGTGTATAGGCACTTAGGAGGTACTTAATGGTCTTCAGTAGCTTCAGAAGCTCTGAATCCACTGTGATTTTTTTTTTTTTTTTTTTTTTTAAAAACACTGAAATTTTGGATTGCAAACTATAATTTTAACTAACTTTTTTAAATGGAGTAAAAGCTTTTCATGTAATTTTTGTTCCTTCAAATGATTTAGTAAAATATCAATTCTGTTCAAAATATTGCAATAGAAAATACATAAGAAAATGTACTATGTGCAACACCTTTAGCTTTCCTCATGGAAGAGGTATTGATATATAAAATTACTTCTGTTGAATCCCACAGAAGAAGTTGGGGGAATCAGGCAAGGGGATTATTGAGACAGAAAGAAGAGATGTTTGAGGTGCTCCTGGGGAAAGAAAGAGGGCAAGGGAGGTGTAAGGGCAGAGGGGGTACATAAACCTCTGAGATACCATGTTACTCATTTAAGTGACGTACTTAAGCACGTGTTGGTTTTTTTTCAAGACAGATGCTATTTGTGTGTGCTCAATGAGGTCCTAAGAGAGCTGGTTGCTATACAAGCACCACTTCCTCCAAGCTCAAGATTGGTGCATCCCTATGAGGAAGAAATCAAGCAAAGGAGGCAGAAGGCCTGCTTGGATGAGCAAGGAGCTTCTGGAAAAGCTCAAAGGGAGGAAGCAAATTTACAGTAGGTGGAAAAAGGGACTGGCCACTTGGGAAGAATATAGGAATGTTGTCAGAGTATGCAGGGATGCAACAAGGAAGGCTAAGGGATGCTTGGAATTAAATCTGGCTAGGGACATCAAAGACAAGAAGAAGGGCTTCTTCAAATAAATCAGTGGCAAAAGAAAGATGAGGGAAAATGTGGGCCCCCGGCTGAAGGAGATGGGTGCCCTGGTGACAGAGGATACGGAGAAGACAGAGTTACTGAATGCCTTCTTTGCCTCAGTCTTTACTGCTAAGGCTGGTCCTCAGGAATTCCAGACCCTGGGGGTAGGGGAAGAAGTCTGGAGAAAGGACAACTGCCCCTTGGTTGAGGATTGGGTTAGGGATCTTTTAGGCAAACTGGACACTCACAAAACCATAGGACCTGATGGGGGTGCACCTGTGAGTGCTGAGGGAGCTGGCAGATGTTATTGCTAAACTGCTCTCCATCATCTTTGAAAGGTCGTGCAGGACAGAAGTGCCTGAGGACACGCCAATGTCACTCCAATCTTTAAAAATGGCAAGGAGGACCCGGGTAACTACAGACCTGTCAGCCTCAGCTCCATTCCTGGAAAGGTGATGGATCAGCTCATTCTGGATGTCATCTCTAAGCATGTGGAGGAAAAGAAGATTATCAGGAGTAGTCAGCATGGGTTCACCAAGGGGAAATCACAACTGACCAACCTGATAGCCTTCTATGATGGTATGACTGGCTGAGTGGATAAGGGGAAAGCAGTGGATGTGGTCTGCCTCAGCTTTAGCAAAGGTTTTGACATTGTCTCCCATCACATTCTCACAGGTAAGCTTAGGAAGTGTGGGATAGACAAGTGGACAGTGAGGTGGATTGAGAACTGGCTGAAGGACAGAGCTCAGAGGGTTGTGATCAGTGGTGCTGAGTCTAGTTGGAGGCCTGTAACTAGTGGTGTTCCCCAGGGGTCAGTACTGGGTCTGGTCCTATTCAATATGTTCATCAACAACCTGGATGAAGGGACAGAACGCACTGTCAGGAAGTTTGCTGATGACACAAACTGGGAGGAGT